AAGCGTACTTTCGGATTTTTTGTACAAAAGCCTTCAAAAACCATACTTATAATTACACTAGCGAAAAATCCAATTAGGAACATTTACTTCACTAGTTACCAGTACTTTTTGCACAAAAAATGTGGGTGTAGTTATGATACCTTGTTTACAATTCACTAAAATGTAATTGGGGCTCCATAATACCACCTTCTCCTCTAACTATTGATTATAAATTTAAGTAATGTCTTCGTAAAAGATTTCAGTCTGTAATGCCGAAAGTAACAGTAGTTCTCGTTGCAAATTAATTATTAAATTTTCCACAATCTTATTCATTATAATAGCTTTAATCCTTTAACAAGTAGTGATTCAAAGCAAAAAAATCTAATACTATTATTATTGATAATGATAATTCATAAAGCTTTAGGTTATTTCACAATAATGTATAAAATGCGTAAAAGTAAACGGTAGTCCAAAATAAATTAATTTATCAATCAAAAATATTATCCTAGTTGATTTTCATGATTGCTGTATTACGAGGTAACCAAATTTCCCTTTTAGAGGATTAATAGTAATTAAACCGTTTCTCTTGTAGCAAGGGAATCGTTGATTTGTAGAGGTCTGTCGATTCTTTTCTCAAATAAATCGTATATTATACGTAAATTATTTTATCAATCAATAAGACAATCTTTCTGTTTTTGTTCTAAAAATATCATTTTGTATATTATTATGCTATGTAATCTGCAGTTTACTTAATTGATATAATAATATAACACAGCAAGGCTCTACCGTACGTGACCAATACGTTTCAATACTCGTCGTGTAAACGGGAATTTGCATAAAATAGCAAACCTGATTGACAATAATAGCCCAATACCGTAAATCATAAAAATAACTTTTAAGAATTTCCAGGACGATTTTTTTTTATTTTCTCACTAAAATTTTAATTTTTTTCCCTCTAAAGTAGGCTCTTTACGGATTATCTCTGGCTTTTCTATCGGCATCACTACTCTTGCGTTTTAGAGCCATGTTTGTCTTCATTTATGCTAATTAATCTGCAATAAGAATTACTGATATTACACAACGATGACTGTTACAAGTGAGAACTCCAGACAAAGACTGATGGAAGTACCAGTGTTAGTGCAAAACAAAGAAATAAGTCAGAACAATGAGTTGCAGCTTCTGAAAGCTGCAACTCATTATTGTGATTTATTTCCAGAAGCTCCAGAAGCGACTTGACTTTATGCACCTTACTAAATGGAGCAGATTTAATGCATAATTATAAATTTTCGTATTTTTCACTTTTTTTTTCGAATTGACAATAGCCTAAATCTGAAATCGCATATGGCGAGTTCGCTATGGCGGGATCGTCCTATAATATTAAAAACATGTGTTTAATAAGAATATAGCAGCTGCAAGTGATTGTATTTTTTTTTTCCTTTTTCCGATGGTTTCCCGTATGACATTTTTTATCATTTTGTATTAAGATCACATGCGACATAACATTATGATTAAATTCATAATCAATAATGCTATTGATTAAAATCTGTTGTCATAAATTGGGGAATGTTTATGAGTAATATTTGATGGTAGATTCCATCAATGAGATATTGTTGATCTAGAAGAGGAAATTGGAGTGTTAATTAAATTATTTTTAATAAATGATAATTGATAATTTTGTATTTTAATAATTAAATTATTGAATCTATATTCGTCTTCATTTTTTTAAAATAATAAAATATTTGTATAATTTATCCAGGCCTATAGAAAAAATATTTGAACGTATCAATATTTTAGAAATCAATTATTTGAAGAATTTCTATAAATATGTAATTATTTTTTAATTAAGTTTTTTAGAATACTTTTAACTTTATTGATATGCGCAATTTAAGCTTAAATCTATAAAAATTTCATAAGAAAAATTCACTTACCTTAATGAAATTCCAAAACGGAAAACGGTTTGAAACTAGCAACCATTTTACAATATTTAAATATTCAGATTATTTCTTTGATTTACTTAAATATCAGATATAAATATTAAACCTGTATTTGTCTTTATTTTACTGAAAAATACTGAAAAGAAAGTATTCAGCTTACAAGGAATGTTATTTTACTGTATAAAATCCTGCTAGCACAGCCTGCTTATTCAACACTATTTTCGTTAAGCAGTTTTATGCAAGTATAATTTTATTAAAAAAAATTAATAATAAAAAAATAGGCGTATCCGAAATATAAAGTTCAGCATGCAAACCAATTTCTTTTCTTGTCACGCAAATCTATTTGTAACATGTCCTACAGTTTAACTAAAATCATGCAGTTATACAGTACTGAAACAGGAACTAGGTCTACTACAGTTTTGTATAATGAATATTTTATTGTATAATAATTTTACAAATTTGTAAATATTAAATAATTGCGCTTCAGTTTCTCAAGAATCTGTAAATTTAAATTAAATAATTCTACACTTACTATAAAATAATTTGCAAATTTAAAGGTTAGATTGAATTTCATTTTTTTTAATTTAAAAACTATTTCTAGATTTTATGAAATGATGAATTCGAATTTAAAGACTAATTTTTCATCTGAATTATTCTATTTTTCTTCTTTTAAATTAAATATTAAAACACACAAAAATACTGAAATGAAAATATGAAAAATTACTAATTCATGAATAAGCGTTTAGATTTATTTTAATTATTTACCTAACTTAATATTATTTATAAAATAATAATAAATTTCTTTTATATAAATTTAATTATTTTTTAAACCATTATTTTTACGTTGTTACATAAAAATTTTCTAACTTAGGATTTAGAAAAGTTTTCTATAGCACCACTCTTATACACGATGAGAAAAAACATTCTTTCGTCATAATGGCCTATTTTAGGTCATCATAACGCAAGAATATTTTCCCCATGCTTTAATTATTCAGAAATTTCTTATTTACACAATTCAAAATTACAAAGCAAAAAGGTTTATAGAAATATCTGTAAATGATTATCAGAAAAATAGTTCAGACAGTGTTATGAATAAAGTCTGCAAGTTGCTATAGTAAACTACTCGCATTGACCCACTCACAATAATGAAATCAGTCGCGACAATGAACCTCAATCAGTATGCATTTATACATAATTTATTTTCTTATATCTTCCGGTCACGTTTACGACATAAATTACTGTATTGAATTGTTTTCATATTAGCAGGTGCGCAGCGCAATCACGCCTCTAACATACACGTAAAAGGAATTTAATACAGACTGTCTTAACTTAAATCAAAATGGCTGGAAAATATTGAAATATTCGAAACCAAAGAGAAATAATGGCCACACTTCCGGTTTGCTAGAGCACAATCATACATTCGTATGTGGCAGAATATAGACCACGTGTCATAAATGAATCTGATTCTGATTGGTTAACTATGACATTTCTCGATGCTTAGACTATCCCTTAGGTAAGACAGGAGGGTTGCAAAAGTAGGTATACATTTGTTATGAGGAAAAAACAGAAAAAAAACAAACCTTATACGATTTATTCTACAAAATTTATATTTACGCAACTAAATAAATCTGAGTTTTACTTAAAATAATAATGAGTAGAATTCATTCGTTCAGAATAAAATGTTTATACAGTAGAATATAATGAATTATATTTTGTTCAATGGCGGTTTTAGGCTTTTTCCAAAGGTTTTTTATGTTTAAGGTTTTAATGTGCTTTTAGAAGTCTCAAGCACATACAAATGCATAATATAAAATTAAAAAATTCGACATTTTTGAATTATTTTATTTATAATTATTTTAGCTTCGATATTTAGCAATTTTTATTGTTTCATTCTAATTTAATTTACGTAAGACTAAAATTAAATCATATTTATTTTATCTAGCTATAAAAATTATTTAGAAATGATTAGAGAGATCATATTAATATGTCAGGCAAATAAGGAAACTTAGGGAATTTTTTAAATAATTGTCAATGGGAATTGTACAGTACGTTATATTTAGGGAAATAAGATATTGTTTTCCTTATGACTCAAGTCTCCTAAAAATCTCTTAATTAAGAAAATATAATTGATAGAGATATAATAAGTGATCTACAAAATTCATAATCAATTCTTCAATGGTTTACACACGGAATAATCTAATATAGACATCACGAAGAAAATGCAATTATAATAAACATTCAAATGTTTATTCAATAATCCATCTAAATCTAATTAATTAGATAAAAATTATAACGACAAATCCGGATGATTGAATTAAATTATAATTGATAAGAATGATAATCATTCAACCAAAATATTTGAATTATTAGAAATTTTTACAGAACTATACCAATTTGACAAAACTGTTCTTAAATAAAAAAGTAACGATTATGGTTTTTTAAATACAATTTAAAAGGATGTTTTATATTAAGCGAGAAGAAATTTTATATTATAAAATATTAATTACGTAGCTACGAAGAAAATAATTACAATTAAAACTTAAAATGTTTTGTATCAATTTTTCATTAATTTTTTTAATGATAACTATTGTTTTGTACTGAAAAGGGCTTCGTTGATTCATTGTGAAATTAATTATCAATTAATTGAAAAGGAAATCAAGCGCATAATTATTAAATTTTATTTCCAGTTTCCAGTGTGACGTGCTAAAAATTCAAATATATTAGTGAAAGATTTTTATTAGATAAATTATATTAAGCTTACTTAAATAATACAAAGCAACTAAATTAGTAAACATAACAAAAAGCTGACATTCTTCCTTCCTGAAGAGTCTAATTAATGAAACGAGTCTTCAATTTTATAAAAAAAATATTTCAAATGTCTTTTTTTCTTATTTTTCAATGGCTGAATTTCAATACAAAGCCATGCTGTATTTCAGCGTGGATCGATATTTTAGTTTTTATATTCTAAATATTTTTTACGCATTCAAAAAGGGGAAAGTTCACTTATAATGAGTCAAAATGTACAGAAAAATATCGAAATTCGTTCACAACGAAACATTAGATCCAAAGCATTGGGAACATACTTACAATGATGAATTTTTGTCTGTTGTACTCTTCTTTTCAAGTATGCGATGTTTTATAGACTGAGATACAAGTTTCGTGAATACAAATGCGACATTATATCCAGCCAGTTTGTCTTGTTTGTTGTTACTCACTTGACAGAAGCTTACTCTTCTGTTTTGGTTAGAAGTATTGAAGTATTATAGATAGTAGCTTTATATATTCTAGCTTCTTCTTCTTCTTTTTGTCAATACTTTCAAGATTGAATAATTCTCTCCGCTTTCAAATTCGCATGAATTATTTATCTCTACCAATTTTTATTTTAGAATTTTCAATAAAACTTATTTACGCTTTATTATTTTATAAATATTATTTATTCTGTTAATTATATTACTTTACAGTGGAATAATATAATTATTTAAAAGTTTTATTTATTTATTCCATTCTTAACTCTTGAATCTGTGTTTTTTCTTCTGTAGATAGAGAAAAATTAAAACTGCAAACTAAAAAAAAAAAAAAAAATCAAATTAACTTGTTAAAAGATAAAATATTCATGCTTGATTTATCAGTAAATGCGTATACTTTCAATAATTTAAAAGATAATATCTCTGAAAACCTTGGTATAAAGTTTGATTTGCAATAATTATAATGCTCTAATATACAACATTACTAAAAGTTTATTTATAAAATTTAATATTTTATGGTTTAAAATCATAATTTTGATGCTAATTAAAATTAAAAACCAGAAAAGTTAACAAAGTTTAAAATAAAATGATAAGATTGAATTATAAACTTACATTTTCTAGTTTTAGATAAATGATCTTTTTTTATTATAATTATTGATGAAAGTGAAGAATTAAAAACAAAAATGTCAAGATATAAAACAATATTAAAATTAATGTACTTCATCATTATTATTCTCTTTGCTTAATCTTGAATAAGATTAATTAAACATCAATTTATTTGATAGATCAATTAACTATGTACTTTGTGAAAAACTAACTTTTTCGTTGTTATGTATAATGGACATACAAAGAGTGTTGAGCCATTAAATAAATGCTTCAATTAAAATTACAAATAATATTTAAACTAAATACACTTATTAAAGTGTTAAAATAATCACTGAAAAATATAAATCTTCTTAACTTCACAGAGTTTAATTTAAATACATATACCTAATCGAATTTTCACAATGATTCCATATATTATTCAAGCTTTTCCAATATTACAAATCCTTTATAATATATGTCAACTATTTAAAAATTCCTGATAATTTGTATCTCGATTTACGGATAAAGTTGCTGCTAAAGAAATTCATTGTAGATATTACAAAAAATCCAAGAAATTCAAAGGTTTGAAACCACTAGAAATGAATCACGATAGAATTAATCGAGGAGCATTTGGCATAAAAATAAGAAAAGGCATAAAATTAAAACGAGGAGAACTTGGCCAATCCATAAAGAATCGGTTTATGCGCCGATTTCAAATCTGTCAAGGACGATGAATAAAAACTACCAACTTTAAAAAAAAATACATTCAACCTAGTTTAAATTTAACGTGGATATTTTTGATTGAATGGTTTAAAAAATTATTTAGGTGTTTAATTTTAAAATTCAAATTAAGAATTTCTTAATATAAAGAAACGGTTACATTTACGTTGATTATTATATAAAATCATAACAAATGTTATTAAAAGTTTATACATAATTTCATTTAATGTATCTACCATTTTTAAATACGTATACCATAAATGTTTATACCAATTCTCACAGTTAAATCCAAAATTTTCGAATATTAATAATTTTTTCTTGGGTTTATTAATTATAAAATATGTATTTTGCAAAATTATAAGCATTTTAAATTAAACAAAATTAAACATTTTTTTATATTAATTTATGGAACCATGAAAACTAGTGTGAGTTACGATATGGCCAGAAGTTGTTTTTAAAAGATTCAATGGAGAGCTCACCGAGTTGACATTGGTGAATTAATGCGTATACGATTAGTACTAAATATAGACGAAGTTTGCAAAGTTAGTAGTTATAGTTGGCAGGTCAGACACAAAACTAACTCCACACTTGTTTTTCAATGTAAGCTATTTCAAAATTTTGAAATCTTAAATGCATCTGCCAAGAGAATGAGATATTTAGAAGGAGTATATTTTCACTTCGTATAAATAAAAACTATATTCTATAATTGAATATATCTGTTTTAGGCTATTGATATCTTATAGTTGCATTATGACAACAAAAGTAGATTTAAAAAAAGTAAAATTTGAACTGTTTTGAAGTAATTAGAACAAAATGTTTCATCATTTACTTCACGATTTTTATTAAATCGCTCTACTTAAAATTTACTAAATTAAATATTGATCTTTTAATTAGGTAAAGTATATTATTATACTTTGAATATTGTTTATAACTTAATTTAAAGAGATTTCGAGGCAGTTTACTTTAAAAAAAATCATTAATTGTGTGGAATAAAATCAACACTATTCGGCTCATTTATTATAAATAGTTATTAGTTTTATTATTAAAATAGAATACAATTTATTTACTAAATAATAATTTAGCAAACTAAAACTAATACTGAAATTCTAATAAATAAATTCTAATTTCTTATTTAAGTCTTCATCTAATATTTTTAAAAAAATACCAATTTCCTATGCACTGCTTTATATTTCATATAATAATAATAAAATTATTTGTAACGTAAACGTAAATAAATATTTAAACAATATTTACTTTGATGTTGCAGAATGTCAAATATCAAAAAACTGCTTTAGTACTGCTGATCATGACATCAAGAAGCACGTGTTCACTCTTTTTTAAAGCCGAATGATGTCATCCCCGTCTACTACTAATCCAATTCAGAACTGTATATATATTTTTTATATGACATTAAGATATTTATAAGACAGTTTATACTTAAATCCTACTACCAAAATAAAGAATTTACTGATTAAATAATTTCTTCTAGCGTATCCTATAAGTATAAGCATGATTTATTTTAAACTCGTTTATAATTATATTAGTAAATTTTTATATGGCTATTTAAACAGAAATTATAACTATATTTAGACTAGCTTTAAACTATCGTCAATTTTTAAATTCATGCTTTAGAAAAAGATGTACTAAATTAATAACTTCCTTCCTAATTTAAATCAATGCAAAGAAGAGCAATTTTTGAAACACCTTTCCTTAAAAAAGAAGAAAAGTTAGAGAAGTAAGCCAAGATATTTGTCTAGTATCAATTTACAAGGCAAAGAACGTGGAATTACGGCAGGGATCTTTAAGGACCCACCGACGCTTGCGTAGTAAAGAAAGTCGAAAATGTACGTGCAATTTTATAAAAACATCATCTCATTGGCTATAGACTAGATAGTTACACCCAATCATTTTTACTTTTACGAAGAAGTTAAGTTGACGAACTGAAAGCCTACTTGGGTTAACAGTTTTAACACTGCAGGTTTCCGACTGATTTCGACAAGGCAGCTCATTCCTTCTGCTCTTCAGGTAACTGTTAAACATTATACTAACTTTACACTATTTATAAATTATCCGTAGGTTGATAGACAATTTTTCAAGAAGATTCTCCCTCGAAAATCGACAGTAAAAAAGCATTCGATTTTTTTAAAATTTGGAAATAAACAAGACGAAGGAAATTAATTTAAAATAATATAATTTAAATTTCTTAATATACAAAATTTATATTATTATTTTTTTATATGCAAAACTATTTATTGTCGAGATTTTAAATGGGATTTTGTAATTAAGTTTTGTCTCATTTTGTATTTTAAAGTTTTAAAAGTTTGGTTCTTTAAATTTTTACAACGAAAGAGAAAGGTTTATTCTCGTAGATATTTTTATCTGTGGAGTTTTATGTTAGGGACTGCAAAAGATGAGCTCTCAGTCGATCTACTAATCAAAGCTTGCCACGTCAACGTGCTAGAGATTCCCTATTTGGACGGGATGATGGCTGCTATTGTGTTACTGGGTCAGAGCATCTTTGCAAGTTGAATTTTTAAATGATTTTATAATATTTTAAATTAAACACTCGATTATTTTTACAAAATATTTTTCACTTTATTATTAATTTTTTAAAGCGCCGACGCGAAGAACACTTCAAGTTTTAAAAAAGAAATTGCATTAATTTTTCTTCAATTTGCTATCGTCAGCTGAAATTCTTTAAAAATTTGATACGCTGCAAAAAGTTTTCATTTCGAACTTTTTTGCCTAACGTAGCAAATTTTTAGATTTTTTAAAATTATACTTTATAATTAATTAAATTAATATCTCATACTTTCAAGATACTTTCTTTAAAATGCATTCAGAAACGTTTCATCCATGTTGCAGAATAAATAATTGATATAAAATTATTCGTAGGCATTATACTTGATAAGAAATTGTTAGAAATATAGTAAACTAGAAATAAATTAAACAATATAAAAGTTGGAGTGTTAATTACTATTAAGTAATGAAAATGTCGTTTATTTTACTTTATTCTAAGAAAAAAGCTATGAATGTTAAACGTATAGGGAGTACTTTTAATAATCGTCTATCTATTTTCATTTAAAATTGGGTATAGAAACTTATACAGTATACGAAAGAGTGAGATAGCCTACTATAAAAATAATTATATTTTCTACCTTTCTTTCCTTATATACATGGACGAAATCCTCTATTAATATATAAATTAATTAATAAAATAATGTAAAAGAACTCTAAATTGGTTATTTAATCTTTATACGTATGAACTTTAGGTGATTAAATTTAGATAACTAATTAGTTTGGATTTTTGCCTATACTTCTAACGACAATACTTAAATAATGCCAACAAAATATGCGCCAAAACCCACCATCTTCAAGACGTAAACAAATCAAAGTTTCCATATATATATATATATATATATGGAAACTTTGATTTGTTTACGTCTTGAAGATGGTGGGTTTTGGCGCATATTTTGTTGGCATTATTTAAGTATTGTCGTTAGAAGTATAGGCAAAAATCCAAACTAATTAGTTATCTAAATTTAATCACCTAAAGTTCATACGTATAAAGATTAAATAACCAATTTAGAGTTCTTTTACATTATTTTATTAATTAATTTATATATTAATAGAGGATTTCGTCCATGTATATAAGGAAAGAAAGGTAGAAAATATAATTATTTTTATAGTAGGCTATCTCACTCTTTCGTATACTGTATAAGTTTCTATACACAATTTTAAATGAAAATAGATAGACGATTATTAAAAGTACTCCCTATACGTTTAACATTCATAGCTTTTTTCTTAGAATAAAGTAAAATAAACGACATTTTCATTACTTAATAGTAATTAACACTCCAACTTTTATATTGTTTAATTTATTTCTAGTTTACTATATTTCTAACAATTTCTTATCAAGTATAATGCCTACGAATAATTTTATATCAATTATTTATTCTGCAACATGGATGAAACGTTTCTGAATGCATTTTAAAGAAAGTATCTTGAAAGTATGAGATATTAATTTAATTAATTATAAAGTATAATTTTAAAAAATCTAAAAATTTGCTACGTNATTCTAGATAATATATTATCTAGAATTTTATATCCATCGACTTAAATTTATTAGAAAACAGATTAATTAATCAAATTTCAATTCTAGATTATATATATATATATATATATATATAGAGAGAGAGAGAGAGAGAGAGAATTTAAAGCCAGAGTTTCATAGAAAATATTTAAAAAATAGAAATTTCTATGAACGTGAGACGTCGGAAAGTGAAACAGCTCCTTTATACACTTTCATGCAACTTCCTTATACTGCCTGTAACGTTGCGTTTTGTGACACAGATGGCGCGAAACTAATTTTAGTATCGTTAAATTTGGATCACTATATGACGTCATTCGAAAGACGAGGAGTTCGTCTAGGAGAGGGAGAAAGAAGATTTTGAAACCAAAATTGCACAGTTTCCAAAACTATTCGAAGAGGGCATATCCGGAAATAATTTATTTATTTATTTCTAAACCATTAAAACCTCTTCAAAAATTAATTTTATACATCCAGAGTTTTTATTTATTTATTTTTTTTTAAACTCCAGAAAATATCCAATTCGAATTTCAATAAAAAGATTCGTATCGAAAGTCGAATATTAAAAAAAAAAAAAAAAGCAAATCTGGAGCTTAATAATGCAACGTTTAGTACTTCCTTCTTCACATATAACGTCAATTGAATATCAAATTTTTGAGTTTACAGTACTAGAAAGTGTAATTTAATCTTCTTCTACCACTTTTGTTACTTCATTCATAAATCTGATCAGGTAATCGATTCGGAGTATGACAGAACTTTTACGCAATCACTACGTAAAAGCAGCTTTGTTCTTACACACACGCACAAAAAAAGATTTCTTTCTTTACTGATGAATGGTGTATTGTCTTTATTGTTCCTATACATGTGCTACTATATGATTTTTTAATATAAAAAAAATACATTTAATAATTTTAAAAAATCATACAAGATACCGAAATTTTCGTTAAAAATGACTAATTTAAATTTATATATTTTCTCATAAATTAAGTATAAATTTTACTAATATAATTATCGATTCGGTTTAATTAAATTGTAATTATATTTATTAGGTTATCTTGAAACCCGATAACTAAAACCATCAACATGGCAGAGTAAGTACTGTTCTACAAAACTAATTCTTTGTTTAAATTTAACGAAAAAAAATTTAATCAAATTGACTAATTAAATATCTTTTTCTTCCTTTTTTTCAAAATGACAATTTTCTACGGAAACAGTGAGGTAAGGAATATTTGATGTAATTAAATTAATTAAAAATAATTAAACTACGAAATAAAATAAATTATTTGTAATTGAAATAATTGTGATCTGTCAAAATAATATTTTTACATATCCAAACGATTAATTTCAGGAAGCAAGAAAGAAGCAGGAGGAAAGAGAGAGGAAGAAGGCCGAGGTACGAAAAAGGCTAGAGGAGGCTGCCAAATCCAAGAAAGCCAAGAAGGGTTTTATGACCCCTGAGCGTAAGAAGAAATTGAGGGTAAGGAAAGGACTTACGTCATGAACATTATATAAATAAATTAAGAAAAATAAATTGGAGTTATTGTATCTACATTAGAAATTGCTCAGGGCTAAAGCAGCTGAAGAATTGAAGAAAGAACAAGAAAGAAAAGCAGAAGAAAGAAGGAAAGTTATCAACGAAAGATGCGGACCTCCCAAAAACTTGGAAGGCGTTAATGAAGGTAAAATTATTATAAACTATATATTATATGTAATTTATAAAACTTCATTTTGTTCTGTTTATTTTAAGATTTACAAAATCTATTTTGTTATTTTTTTTAATACATACATTGTTTTTTCGATTATAAAATCTTTTTTAGGGTCGTATAATAGTTTACAATATAATTGTTAAATTATTATGTAAAATTAAATTTTAATATACATTCTTTAAAAGACAATTTACACGAAATATATTTCATAAAAAGAAATTTTTAAACTCTTATTAAATTAAGTAAAAAATTTAATAAAGATTTATAATTTGAGATAATGGATCAAAAATAAATTTTACAGCATTTAAATCTGTTTAAAATTTTAATGTGCCAAAAGAAGTCATAAATATTTATTAATTTCTTTTTAATTTAATAAATTCAAATTAAAATGAAACGAAATTTAGACAAAGATTAAGATAAAGATTAATACTTATTTTATCTTCATATAATAGGAAAATATATTTTAAAACTTTTTAAATGAATATATTTTTGACATTCTAAATATTGACAGTATAATTTTTTAAATTAAGACCATATTAAAAATTTGACAGTTATTCGACAGTTAGACTTTAGTTTTAAATGAATTTTTGATCCTAGATCATTTAAACATAATATTTTTTCCTAAATCTAATATATTTCAGTAACTCAGAATGCATATCATTAATGCTGCAGACGATAAATTTTACCTACTCGAATTTTGGGGATTTGCAAATAATTATTTTTTTTTTAAATTTTGAATATTAAATGTACATTTTGTTACACACATTTTATGTAATTTTTATGCTGTCGCCTTCAGCCACACTTCAAGCAATCTGTAAGGAGTATCATGCCCGAATTTCTAGTCTTGAGAATGCCAAATATGACTTGGAATACGAAGTGCGACAAAAGGATCATATGGTACGAGTAATTTTAAAAAGGAACGAGGAAAAAACCACAAGCGTTTAGCACTGCTTTGGCTAAACGTTGGCTTTTGGCTTTGGCTTTGTTTTTTTTTCTTTCTTTTGCTGAAATTTTGGCACAGAATATAATTTTTATTTCGGCCATAATGCTTTTGCTGATTTTGTTTTTTTTCATGATTTTTTAAAAACAAAACAAGAGCTGCTTTTGAATAATTTTTATTTTTGCTTTCGATACGCTTTTATTTGCTTTTTATTTTGCTAATTCAGTTAGTGTTTCGCTGCTATTTTTATTATTTAGTTTAAGTTCTGTTTTTAGTTTAAGCTTTGCTTTTTATGTTTGCTTTGCTTATTTATTTTGTTGTAGCTGTAATGTGTTAATTTTTACTTAGCTGAGCTACAAGCTATCTGCAAAGAATATCATGACCGCATTTATAAATTAGAAAGTGAAAAATATGATTCAGAATACGAAGTTAAGAAAAAGGAGTATCAGGTCAGTTTGAACGTGTTCGATTTATTTGTAAAAACCTTCCAATGTCTCCGGAAATATATTCAGTTGGTCTATTCAATAAAATAATTGGAATGGTATTTACAAACTGAATGCATTTTAATTTCTTCAGCAAAATAAAATGTATTCGGCTGAAGAACAAACTTTTGAACTTCATATTTACTGAATTTTGTTTTTTCAAAGAGTAATATTTTTATATTCTATTTTTGTTTTTTATTTTGCTTGCTGTTTGCTTACTAAAACTCTTTTTTATTTTTATAATATAGAATATATTTTAAAATACACTCTTATATTTAAAGTAAATATACATAAGAGTAATATTCATAAAAATTTAAATTAAAATTTATACTTTTATTAATTAAATTTTACTCTTATTATAGTTAAAATAAAAAAAAAAACACAAGCATTTAATTAAATATAAATACATTTAAAATCGGAACTTAAATTTATAATTATTAATAAAAATCTCAATTTTCCAGATCAGCGAATTGACTATCGCAGTGAACGATCTTCGTGGAAAATTGTACGTATTATATTTCTTAATTACATCATAAATTAATTAATTATCGATAATTTATACATATTTTATTATCTTTTAAAATAAAATTAAACGAATTTGCTTTTATTCTAGCGTGAAACCGCCTCTGAAAAAAGTTTCCAAGTAAGACTTTCACCGATTGTTTACTTCGTGAAAATGCTTTAATAAAGGCACAAATACTAAAGTTGATTTATCTTCCAGATTCGATACCAACAAGCTTATGGCCTTCACTAAGAAATTAGCAGTTGACTTCAGAGCTAACCTGAAACAATCCACTGCTAAGAAATTCACAGTGGATGACGATGCTAAAGAGGTATGTTTGTATTATTTTTATCATTACGGAATTTTATTTTTTAATGTATATACATATCGATGCTATAATGCCATTGCATATTTAATATTTTAAACCCGCTATGTTTACTTGTGGCATTGTTTGTGATAAATTGTCATAATCCATTAACTTTGTCTGGTCTTCGTGTTCTCTTCTTCACAGACGAAAAAGGAGGAGAAACCACAATGGGCCAAATGAAGTCTCTACAGAGCTACCCATGCTCTTCCTATATTGGTGATTGTTGTAACTAAAGACGTTGTTCGTTGTATACTTGTTGATAAAATGTCACACAAATACACAAAACATAAAAAAACACGTTTTTCTGATTTATGGACAGTGAAAAAATAAAATTTGTTTATTACAATATTCTAAAAACACTTCAAAATATTATTTTTCAGCATTCTATTTGTATGATTTTGAGAACGACGGATGTTCTAGATCATATTAGAAAATATTGATTTGTAACATCCTTTCATAATAACCTAATAAAAATAAATTCGTGTCCCTTATTATTTATTTTCATTAAGAATTCCTTAAGAGAAAGTACAGGTATACTGAAATTTACCACCACCACTTACATGGAAATGTTTAAAATTTAAATTTTTTTTATCTATGCCAGGAAACACTTTAATCATTTAAAAATTTTAAGCATAAATTATCATTAATTAAATTATAAAACCAATTGTCTTTAATTACTCTCTTAGGAAAACACATTAAACAAACACTAAACACTCACAAAATGTATTGGCGCTATTTACAGTACACACATTCATTATTATAAACAAATGACAACGTTTCTGCCTTGATTAAAACTTTTTATTTAAAAGCATTTTTTAAAATTTGATTTTTGATTCTTTTCACAGGATTTCTTTCTTCAAGGGATGGATTTCATTCATTTTTGTTTGTTTTTTTTTGTGTGAATTTTTGCATTTTGCTATTTACTTATTTTAAAAAGCTTTAGCAATTTTTATGTGTTGGACTTTGTGTTTTTTGATATATTTTGCCAATTTTTGTTTTGCAAAATATTTTGTATATTTTAAGAAAAAAAATGAAATCCAGAAACTTTTGTCTGAGAATAAGATGGCCGCTGTGAATATATTTAGAAGAAAATTTCAATATTTAATAATATAAATCACACACATTTAAGAAATAATTCAATTTAATTTGGAAAGTAATGCTTAGATACAAAACATATGTACAACTACATAATTTCAACTAACAGGTCAAGTAAGGCATTATTTTTACTATTTCATAAAACAGTTAACTGAGAAAAAAATATATATTTATTCAAAAATTGAATTATTTAAAAAACAATTAAATTAATTAATTAATTAATTAACACACCATTTAAAGAATTCTGGTCATCATTAAAACAGAAAGTTTCTGGAAGGATTTCTCTTAAATACAGACAATTAAATCAATATACCAAACCTTTTTTCTTTCGAGTACAGGCTAAGCCAGAATGGGCATTGGGTGGCAAAGAAGGCAAGAAAGAATAAGCAACAGGATTTAGAATCAAGAACCTTTTAATAAAAATATTTCCAGATCATGTATGTCACATGATATACGTTATATCGTTTGTTTCTTCTTTTTTTTGTTTCTAGTCATTGTATAAAAGTTAAAAAAAGAATATCGGCGTCAAAACGAAATTTTTTAACATTGTCTTGGGAATATTGTCACGTTTGATCTCTATTGATGGTCACCCAAGAAATATAATCAGCTATGTAAACGATCTGGATTCGAATCACGTCTTGTGTACAACTTTTATTTGTTTCGGAAAATAAATTATGCCTTTGAACATATTTAAATTAGTACTGTGTTTATATATAATGCGCTGTATATAAAGTTTTAAATTATTTTTCAAGTGTTAATTNTTAATTAAATATAAATACATTTAAAATCGGAACTTAAATTTATAATTATTAATAAAAATCTCAATTTTCCAGATCAGCGAATTGACTATCGCAGTGAACGATCTTCGTGGAAAATTGTACGTATTATATTTCTTAATTACATCATAAATTAATTAATTATCGATAATTTATACATATTTTATTATCTTTTAAAATAAAATTAAACGAATTTGCTTTTATTCTAGCGTGAAACCGCCTCTGAAAAAAGTTTCCAAGTAAGACTTTCACCGATTGTTTACTTCGTGAAAATGCTTTAATAAAGGCACAAATACTAAAGTTGATTTATCTTCCAGATTCGATACCAACAAGCTTATGGCCTTCACTAAGAAATTAGCAGTTGACTTCAGAGCTAACCTGAAACAATCCACTGCTAAGAAATTCACAGTGGATGACGATGCTAAAGAGGTATGTTTGTATTATTTTTATCATTACGGAATTTTATTTTTTAATGTATATACATATCGATGCTATAATGCCATTGCATATTTAATATTTTAAACCCGCTATGTTTACTTGTGGCATTGTTTGTGATAAATTGTCATAATCCATTAACTTTGTCTGGTCTTCGTGTTCTCTTCTTCACAGACGAAAAAGGAGGAGAAACCACAATGGGCCAAATGAAGTCTCTACAGAGCTACCCATGCTCTTCCTATATTGGTGATTGTTGTAACTAAAGACGTTGTTCGTTGTATACTTGTTGATAAAATGTCACACAAATACACAAAACATAAAAAAACACGTTTTTCTGATTTATGGACAGTGAAAAAATAAAATTTGTTTATTACAATATTCTAAAAACACTTCAAAATATTATTTTTCAGCATTCTATTTGTATGATTTTGAGAACGACGGATGTTCTAGATCATATTAGAAAATATTGATTTGTAACATCCTTTCATAATAACCTAATAAAAATAAATTCGTGTCCCTTATTATTTATTTTCATTAAGAATTCCTTAAGAGAAAGTACAGGTATACTGAAATTTACCACCACCACTTACATGGAAATGTTTAAAATTTAAATTTTTTTATCTATGCCAGGAAACACTTTAATCATTTAAAAATTTTAAGCATAAATTATCATTAATTAAATTATAAAACCAATTGTCTTTAATTACTCTCTTAGGAAAACACATTGTATAATTTTTTAAATTAAGACCATATTAAAAATTTGACAGTTATTCGACAGTTAGACTTTAGTTTTAAATGAATTTTTGATCCTAGATCATTTAAACATAATATTTTTTCCTAAATCTAATATATTTCAGTAACTCAGAATGCATATCATTAATGCTGCAGACGATAAATTTTACCTACTCGAATTTTGGGGATTTGCAAATAATTATTTTTTTTTTAAATTTTGAATATTAAATGTACATTTTGTTACACACATTTTATGTAATTTTTATGCTGTCGCCTTCAGCCACACTTCAAGCAATCTGTAAGGAGTATCATGCCCGAATTTCTAGTCTTGAGAATGCCAAATATGACTTGGAATACGAAGTGCGACAAAAGGATCATATGGTACGAGTAATTTTAAAAAGGAACGAGGAAAAAACCACAAGCGTTTAGCACTGCTTTGGCTAAACGTTGGCTTTTGGCTTTGGCTTTGTTTTTTTTTCTTTCTTTTGCTGAAATTTTGGCACAGAATATAATTTTTATTTCGGCCATAATGCTTTTGCTGATTTTGTTTTTTTTCATGATTTTTTAAAAACAAAACAAGAGCTGCTTTTGAATAATTTTTATTTTTGCTTTCGATACGCTTTTATTTGCTTTTTATTTTGCTAATTCAGTTAGTGTTTCGCTGCTATTTTTATTATTTAGTTTAAGTTCTGTTTTAGTTTAAAGCTTTGCTTTTTATGTTTGCTTTGCTTATTTATTTTGTTGTAGCTGTAATGTGTTAATTTTTACTTAGCTGAGCTACAAGCTATCTGCAAAGAATATCATGACCGCATTTATAAATTAGAAAGTGAAAAATATGATTCAGAATACGAAGTTAAGAAAAAGGAGTATCAGGTCAGTTTGAACGTGTTCGATTTATTTGTAAAAACCTTCCAATGTCTCCGGAAATATATTCAGTTGGTCTATTCAATAAAATAATTGGAATGGTATTTACAAACTGAATGCATTTTAATTTCTTCAGCAAAATAAAATGTATTCGGCTGAAGAACAAACTTTTGAACTTCATATTTACTGAATTTTGTTTTTTCAAAGAGTAATATTTTTATATTCTATTTTTGTTTNCCAATTTTCGGGATCATTACAGAAAAACGAAAAGAAAAAGTATTTTTGTTTACTTTTTATTTTAAAATTTTCAAAAAAATTGAGAATATTATGTTTTGAGATAAACTTGTGGAATTTAATTATAAGTAAAAATAATATTAAATAAAAATTGATATTTAATACGAACATTTGCAATAAAATAACCAATTTAAATATATTTTTAAATATTTATTAAATAGAAAAAAAATGAATATTTTCTTACACAAATAAATGTAGAATACATAGGGTATTAATTTTCAAATCGACAATAACAATTTTATAAATGTACTTAATAAATTTAAATAAAATATTTATAAATAAAAATTAATAATTTGAAATTGTTTAATTTGTATATTTTAGTAAGCTCTTAATTAAAATTTCTTAATAATAATAAACTATTTTTCATCATTATCTGTTTAACTTCTAATTAAATTTTATAAATTATATTCAGATTGTTTATATTTTTTCGTCTTTTATATTTTTTTTCTTATTTTTAAAAATCTTACACATAACATTTTAGAATTCTCTTTTTTATTTCTTAAACGTATTTTTTATAATTACCGTATTTTAGAATATTAAAACATTTTTTTTACCGAATTTACATCGGTTTATTTGCTTTTATTATAAAATCAAAAATACCCTTCGATATTTAATTCGTTTTATTTAATAAAAAAAGTATCGTTAGGAGGTTTTTTTTCGTGTTAGGTTATACCACGTATCTTTTTATTTACAGATTTTCTCATTCAGTATAACATGCCTCTTGCTAAACTCAAGACTAACAAGTAACAAGTTTAACTGATGTAAATGCAATGCCATCTAGTTGAATCTAGAGCAAACAGGATTCCTTCCGCACTAAAGATACTCGTATAATTAAAACTTTCATTTAGTGATAAATACAGAATAGTTTTCACGTCTTCGTGTCAATATTTAATTCTTTCATTATATTTAATTATATTTTAATTTACTTCGAACATAATTATTGATGATTTCAAAATATTATTTAAGTTTACTTTGATGATGATGATGATGATAATGATGATGATGATTGTGCTTTGAATAGTCGTTATAGCTGCTAACACGATTCGTTCTAAACTTTTGTATCATCGACTGCATTAAAATATACTTTAACAACGTAATTAATATTCATAATCTCAATGAAAAAAGTAAGAATTTTATTATTTATTTTCGTTGTTGTTGTGTTGGAAAAGATTTCAACATAGCTTTATAATTTTAAGATAAAATGCTTGAAATAATTGCAATACGAATAACGTCTCTTCTGATTTCTGTTAATAATTTTCATATCGTATTTCACTTCGACAAGATGGCGACAATCTGTCTTAAATACCAAATTGGATATTTTTAACATATACATTAAAAGCATAATTTAGCTAAAAAGCAAATAATTCAATACAATATCTGTTTAGTTCTTTAATATCTTTTAAAATGACAGAAAACACATAATATAAGGATGATATACTCAGCACGAGAACACCGATATTGAGATTTCATTCCAAACATACTTTTTAATAGGCTCCACTTGACGACAACTATAATCAAGACTAACTATAGGTTTTCTGCAACTTTAAACATAATCCTTTTTTACTATTTTTACGAATGATTGAAAAATGTATGGCTGCAATGTTTTCCTTAGAATGACATTGTACGCATAATCTTTAACAAATGACGAATATTAACGTGTACTACCGATACGCTCGATCACGCATCCATATTTAATTATACGAAACATAACATGGACCAATATACCACGTATTTAGAATAATTTGAAATCAGCATCAGAGTATTTTTTATTAATTAATGACGAATAAAGCATTATTTAAAACGTTAAAATCATAGATTAAACGTAAACCGACAATAAAAATTAATTTTCACACATTATTTTACTATTAACGAAACCAAAACTAGCCGAAAGTGCTACTGCACCGTAGCTCGAAATTTCTGCCGAAAACGTACGAAAATATAATATTAACGTACGAAGGCAATTTAGAGGTATTAAAGCATTCAGTCCGAAAGTGCGAGTTTTTTAAGGTTACCAAGTCATTCTTCCAAATAAATCCAAATACGTAAACACGATCATATAAATAAATGAATTTTGTACAATGAACGAAATAAAAATGTGTTTTTATCTGTGAAATTCTCCATATACTATTTATAAGCATATGATTGTATTTTGTTTCTAGCTATATGACAATGCATATATAGGGGAGACCGGGGCAAGATCGGCATGTTAAGCTTTACCTAAATTTTGTGTAATAAATACTGCTGTAAACTGAAAAAAAAGCTTTGCATATTGTCTATTGGAATGTTACCTTACTATAGAACTGGTTAAAATCAGTTTGGAAATAAAAATAATTAAAATAATTACAACTTTACAAGAAGAGAGAAATTGACGAAGTTGCCCCGGGTATAGGGGCAAGATCGGCAACTTCTCTCCTTTTGTAAAGTTATAATTATTTTAATTATTTTTATTAAAGTTGCCCCTGGTATAGGGGCAACAGTAATGGAGCAAGATAAACACGTATATAAAATTATGTTATTAACAATGTATAAGTTGGAATTCACTATTAAAACAAAGAAATACAAATCCAACACCCATTTAATATTATTACAACGAAATGCAAGTTCAAAGACATATATACATGAATAACAAATGCAAACATGTTTTCATTTATCATCTGTTTGATTTTTATCCTTTGCTTCTAATGTGGCTTTATGTTGCCGATCTTACCCCGCTAGTCATGATTTCGAAACATTAAGTACAACCCTGAGAACAGAATGCCAAGACACGATCTGGCCACGTGAATAAGTTGAAGTTACATCCTTCTAACAGGAAAAGCAACTTTCGTTATCATGGAATTATAACAAAACCTGCCAATTCAATATAAATGGAAAAAAAATATTATATGGAATTGAACGAAAATGAAAATTTGCTTGATAATTCAACTACGCTTGTTGGAAAACAATAAAAACACTACACTCAACAAACCACCAATAAAACTCAACTGCCTAACCTATAAACAAAGTCTCCTTTTACTTTGTTTTTTAAAAAAGAAGCGCTTGACAAACTTGCCCCGCATGCCGAAGTTGCCCCGGTCTCCCCTATATATATATATATTATATATCAGCAAGAATATACACTATTCGGGGATTAATCTGATATTTTGTAAATTTATTTAAAAAAGATTAAAATTTCTATCACTAAATATTTAAAAATAGATTTTCCTATTTTCTTAAAGTCTGTAATTGGCTCTCAATAAAAACGTTCGATTAATATTTGTATCGGGATCAAAGATTTACACTTGGAGCCCCAAATATATGTTTTGTGCTCTCTAAGAATGCGGTACTCGAATGGTATGAAATTGCTCGATTTCATTGATCGGGTAGACGGGAATTAGTGTTTTTCGACAGAAAATAGCCAGTGAATTCCGACTGCAGGAGGAAATAATTCCAAACATCCAAACTTTTTCTAATGTTAACTCTAACGTAGCAATTCGTGGCCGAATACGAAACGGTAATCGGCTAACCGATCGAATTTTTCGAAAACATGCTAAATGTTTAGACTCGGCAGCCTTAGACATAAAAAAGATCTCCCATTGATAGAAACATTTCCCTGGGTATTTATGAGGTATCATTCACCTTAGGTTAAGAGATT